CCAGCGCCCTACTCCTTTGAGCCACAGGCGCAGCCCCTTCTGATTTTCTTTGTATCTCCTTCCTGGAAGGCCTCAGCCCAATCCCATACCTACTACACTGTTGTCTTCAAGCCTTAGTTTCCAGCCCTACATCCCTTTGCTCTGCTAAGCTCCAGTCTGGTATGTTCAGGTAGTAGCTATTTGGATTATCTCAAGGCAACTCAATTGACCCAGGGAATGCCCAGCTCATCTTCTTTGAAACCTGCTCCTCTCTCTACTATATTCTCTATTTTAGTGAATGGCCGTTTACCTTAATCCAGAAACAAGTCGACTATTTATCCTTTTCCCCTGATCTGTAAGTCCTACTGATTCTGCCTCCTCAGTGAACTCAGATGCATCCTCCCACTTCATTGATCCAGGCTTCCATCATTGCTCTTCCAAGTTATCCCAACAGAACTCATCCCTCATCCCCTGGCCCTTCTCTGATCCAGATTCCATTTGGTTGCCAGCATCCTTCCAAAAACAACAGATCTGATCACATCCCTGTCCTGTTTTAAAATTTTTTTTTTTATTTTTTAGAAACAGAGTCTCACTTTATCACCTTTGGTAGAGAGGTATGGCATCACAGCTCACAGCAATCTCCAACTCCTGGGCTTAGGCGATTCTCTTGCCTCAGCCACCTGAGTAGCTGGGACTATAGGTGCCCGTCACAACACCCAGCTACCCGCTTTAAATCTTTCAGTGACTCTGGACAGGATCTGACAGTGAACTGAAAGCTGTCTGCTGGTTTTTCTCCTCCAGGTCTCAGGGAGCAACTCAGGAACAAAGACAATGCCATTTCCCTAGTGCCTAGCACAATGCCTGACAGAGCACAAGTTGAATAAATATGTGAGTGGAAAGATCCCAAGTCTCACCAGATGTCACTTGGATAAGTTAACAGCAGAGCAGGGCAGTGGTTAAGAGCAGAGACTCCAGACAGGCAGACTTGGCAGGTCTGAATGCTAGCACTGCCAACCTCCAGATATTTGGCCTGTGAAAGAGTTCTTATCTTTTGTCAGTCTCGGTTTCCTCAACTGTTACATTACAGTACTACCTACCTTATAGAGAATGAGATAATGCACCAAGTGGGGTTAGCACAGTGTCTGGCATATATCACTCAATTAATGGTTGCCTTTAGTATTTTTTTTGTCTTTATTATTATTCACAATAACAAATATCAGTTAACAGCAAGCTTAGAAAAGAATCCCAGGATTTTGGTACTATAGGTGGAAAGCCTATATACTTGTGCCTTTTTGCCTCTCAGAGTGAGCAGGAATAAGTCACATTTTTCTACACTCTAGGAGGCTCTGAGGTAGAACCCCCACTATGTCCTTTGCCTTAGCCAGAGGAGATGCCAAGAAGCAAAGTGACTTACTGTCACAAATATATTTGAGTGGCAAAATCAAGCTTGGAACCCAGTTATTAATGCACAGTAATTTGCTGTTAAGCTGCTGGCTGTCTGGGACTTGCTCTACAGTATAGGGAAAGTGAAAGTGCTTTGTGAGCAACAGTACACAGATGCACCTGGTACAGTGCATTTATAGGTGTTTGTCTCTCTAAACTTGAACTTGGACTAATGTGCCTTGGGGGAAGTCCATAATTACCGCACTGTAGATCCTTCCTATTGTCAGCTGTAATTATCTGTTAAACTAGTAATCAGATGATTCTTCCTTGGAGCCTTTCCTAGATCAGTGGTTCTTTTTTTTTTTTTGAGACAGTTTCACTTTGTAGCCCTGGGTAGAGTACGTGGCATCACAGCTCACAGCAACCTCAAACTCTTGGGCTTAAGCAATTTTCTTGCCTCAGTCTCCCAAGTAGCTGGGACTATAGGCGCTGGCCACACAGCTGGCTATTTTTAGAGATGAGGTTTCACTCTTGTTCAGGCTGGTCTTGAACCTGTGAGCTTAGGCAATCCACCAGCCTCAGTCTCCCAGAGTGCTAGGATTACAGGCATGAGCCACTGCACCTGGCTACATCAGTTAAGGGAGGAGCAGTGCTATTGCTTGAAATT